AGGAATTGAGCTGCAGGTCAGGAATTTCTAAATAAGAAATTTGCACTGTTTTGTAAGAGAAGGAAAATGTCATTCAGGTTGTATATTAACGAATATGTTACACGTCGTTTAATACATATTAATCACACTCTTGAAATACATTTAATTATAAATTACGTTTCAGTTTAAAATGGAAATGGATTGTGCATGCATTGCTTCCAGCTGTACAACTCTTAAGCCCTGTCCGTACCCAAATGTTGAAAAGCATGTGCTACAAACAGCGTTGTCAACGATTTCTGTAAAATTTTATTAATAATTAACAGTCCTATTGAAAACCCCTCCCATGATCAGTCGCAAAAAGCAAAGAAAATTACAAAAAAATGTTTCCAACAATGTCAAGCCCCACCCACACATACACAGCATTGTTGAAAACATTGTTACGAAGCGGTAAAGTTTTCCAAATGATTGGACGTCACGAAACAAAGCAAAGTGTTTCCGGCTTACAATTTCGGTATGGGCGTTCATGTTTGTAACATTTTTCGCACGATTGTTGACAACAAAATTTTATTTTGGCGTTCACGAGGCTTTGTATGTAAAGTGCACAAGATGGTTGAATCTGTAAACTCAGTTCTGCGGTGTATTTGGTCTCCATAAAAAATTGTTTTCGCTGGTATCTTATCAGATGGGCCTACACACGAGACGAACACTCCGCTCATCTACTCATCAACTTATATCGACCATAATTTCACCTTTGTACCTGCAACTTTGTATTAACAGTGTCTCATGAGACACGCGCCGTGACACATTCTACAAAAGGTTCGTGTTCACACGTGAACAAAATCCACACTGTTCAAGGCCCCCTCCACACGAAAGATAATTTCACGAAAATAACTGATATCTGCGCAGAATACAGAATGTGTTCTTATCGATTTTCATAAAATTGCTTTTCGGATCTGTTTGACTGTTTATTTATTCAATTTATAAACCTGAACTAATGATTTGCAGTAAATTAAAAGGGGCAGGCTGTTTGGCGAATTTAGGAAGCGATGCTTTTTCAAACATAGCTGCTTTGCGAATCCGCTGTTCAGGGTGGCGACAGTGAATATGCCTACAAGAATTTTTAGGAATTTTTTTTTACCATGATCAATATATGAACATGTATAAACTGTTAAATTTCCATAACATGGGGTTTGCAAGACTATTGCCTCAGACTATTGTCGAATCCAGTGACGAAGTTCGTATAAAATTATCACAGCAGACGAACATCTGTTTCAAAGTCCGTGGCCAAATTTTATGCACGGACTGTGTTCGAACGTGGATTTGTCTGTTGTGAGGCGTCTGTTATAATTTTCTTCTGGACATTACAGCAGCCTGAGCCCATGTGACGGAAAATGTGTTATTTACTGAAATGTCTCGATTGTAAGGGCTTCATATTGGATTAATATTATCAGTCATCCAACGCTGTGACCGTTACTAACATTCACGATATCCGTACGAAGCCCCGCGTTGAAGTTTCTCTTGCGAACAATTATTTATTTTAAAATGAAACTGCTCGAAATGGGACTCTTACCTGCCATGTCTTATCTGATCTAAATATGACATTTCAGGTTTAACATTTCGTGCATCGTTCTGGATTAAGAAGCGGTTTACGATAAATTAGACTTCTGATGTGATTGTACCGATCTGAGTAACACGGGCGATTGGGAGGATGTTTCGGGTCACGTGTTGTCGCGGTGGTCACACGACGGCCATCTGACTGAGCACGGCGTACACCACGATCCAGACGGCCAGGAACACGACGGTGCTGACGAGAAAGATAGTTTTGAGGCGATGCCACGGGCTCTCGGGCGGTCGAGGAGTCTTGGACTTCTGCTGATACTGCTGAAGGCTCCGTTGATGTTGTTCATGCAAAGAAAGACAGACGTCTGTGCAGCCGCGGACACCATTGCCGTTGACAGTCGCCGCAGACACTTCGGCAGGAGCAGGTGGCGACACCTCGTCCATTTCCACCGTGGTTCTTTTGTCGTGCTCGAATCCGGCGTTGTCCATCTGCAAACAGAAGCAAATGGAGTGAGTGAGTGGTTCGGACTCCTCATTTCTTGCCATGTCAGTTGCAGAACGACTGAAG